CGTAAATATAACAAAATAAAACAAAAACTATAAAACTTATTGCCGTCCTTTAACTTCTCAGATTTAATTCAAATTTCTTTCATATAATAAACAAGGTAAATCGATTGAGAAGATGTGTAAACCAAAATTTGAGGAATCTGAACTTCTGGAATTAATAAAAAAATCAATTACCTTCAAAGCAATGGGAGTAACTATTAATATTATTAACGAATGTGAAGGTAGTATTGCCGATGAATGTACTACTAATTTAACATAAAGATTAGTTAAATAGACTTCAAATTTTATTATCTTCTGTGTTACGCCCACCCGTGTTAGAACTGCGAGATTTCATAGCAATCTAAACATACTGTTTTAGTTCTGTCATGATCCTTATTTAAGTAAGATAAATGATATTTAATTACATTATTAATTGTATCAGGAATTCAATAATACCTTATTGAAAATTTTAATGTAACTCAGAATATTAAAGTAAAGATTTTTTTTCCATAGCTCCCGTAGGAAATGAAGTTAATCCTCTCTAAGATGTTTTGTTCATCTAAAGTTGGTCATCTTAGAGAAGATGAATAGCAGTGAAGCTGATTATTGATTTGCCATATCTGACGTAATGGTTCTTTATGCTTTGTCAAGACTTAAAAATCTTCCTTAAGCTGGCATGTAGCATACTGGTTTACGAATGTAAAATTACAAATTAGCAAAGATAAGTAGTGAATAATTGAAGGGAAAAAATCAGTCGCATGCCTAATTTCCTAAAATATTGAAAAGGACCATTATTTTAAAATACATAAAAACGGATATCATCTGTAAAGGAAAAAATAAAAGAAATTTGCAAAAGCCTTGAACTATTATTAATTTTATTTGTTAACTTCAAAACCACTTACTAATATATTTTCTCAATGAATTTTGACTATTTGATTCACCTATTCTATAATCATTTCGCTTTCTAAAACAGCACTTACGTATTACAGTAACCACTCAGTTGAAGCAGCCGAAGTTTCAGAATACGAGAAACTCTTTTAACCATGCGCATAACAATTACTCAGGCAACCACGCACATGAGACAAATATCCATTTTCAAACGTCGCCACCTCCGTATGCGTTCCCTAGCTGTATTGCAAGTTCCAACAGCTTTTTTATAGAAAAATTATGATTATTTTCTGTCTTAAGGGGACTCATACACCTTAAAACCCATAAGATCTTCGAATAGGTGACTGTTGCAAGAATTGGAATAACTTATTTATTTTAAAAGCAATTACTTCCAACCTTTTACTACTGACTACATAATATAGCTGCTTTCTGAAATAGTAATCAGAAAGTTTGTGTTGCCACAAATATTTTTATAATTTAATCCGCTTTGTGACAACATTTTTCGTCATGTTTCAACTTTGCGCGCACAGTTTAAAAACTTCTGTTACATAATTTAATTCCATATTTAATATATAGCTTTTATAACATTTGGAGACTACTGTGAACCTAAAATTCTAAAATTTTCATGTTAAATTTTTATTTTATTTTGAGTTGAGTTTATAAAATGTATTTTATTAAAAAAAATTGTAAGGTTTTCGTCCATAAAATTTTTCAATATTAAAATATTCATCAGATTTTTGTTCAGTTAGAAAATAGTGCCCATATAAAGAATTCCATCAAATTTCAAGCATGTACCATTAGCCATTTTTAAATATCATGCGCGCAAGGTGGAAACATGGCGAAATATTTTGTCACAAAGAGGATTAAATTACAAAACTATTTGTGGCAACAGAAACTTTCTTGTTACTAGTTTACAAAGCAGCTATATTATGTAGTCAGCTGTAAAAGTTTGGAAGTAATGGCATTTAAAATAAATAAGTTATACCAATTCTTGCAACAGTCACATATTCGAAGATCATAAGGGGTTTAAGGTGTTTGAGCCCCCTTAAACACAATTTTAAAATTTGTGCTTGTGGGATTTTCCTGTAATAGAAGAAACAGAGATAGAATTTCTGTGGGAATACAGTATTTTGCCGCAAAATCACTAAAGGAATAATGGTTCAAAGTTTTTCTAAAAGCGATCACTATGAAATTTCCACAGCCTCAAAAACAAAAACCCGTTTGTAATGAAATTTACTGACTGGTTTTGGGGATAATATGTAGTTGAAACGTAAAATATGTTTGTAAATAATATATAACATTTTTTACAATAAAAGTAATTGTTCTTTTTTTTACTTAAAGTTCGACAGACTTCTCCATGGTGGACTTGAAAATACATATATATACCTCTAAAACAATTTTATCTCAATAAAGTAAATCAGCCAACTTATTATTCTTCAGATTATGACTTAATTGCTTTTCTAAAGTTTAAGAACTTGAAACTCCCTTCAAGGTAACAGCCGGGATTTCTTCCCCGTTTTCCTGCAATAAAATTCTTTCCGTCTCTTAAAATCAGACAAGCACATCAGAAATGCCTTTCCCAAAAGGTGTTCAACATACTTAAGTACTCTAAACTGTCAACTTAAAAATATGAGCACGATTCGATTGAAATAATGTCAAAAATAGAAATGAACTATCTTTTGCGCCACGTGAATGTTCATTTGTTGGACTTCAAGCAGTTACGCAAATAATAAATGGAAAATATTAGTATAAATCATACAGGAATGTGATGAGTCATTTAAATGGCATTCTATCATAACCGCCGCACACAGCCTGTATGATATATTTCGGTTGGCTTCGCTTCGGAGTGATAGCTATTCGAAGGTTAGATGCCAGCTCGTCGGAAGGTGTTAAAGGCTATGACAGTGATTTGAGGTCGGTTTAATTGACGGCATATAGCATGGAAACAGGTTAATGATGACAGCATACAAAGATTTACAGAAGACTTAAGTACTGAAGAAGGCTAATATTAATGATTCACAAACAATTAACTACTATTTTAATAAAAGTAATTTTGCTATTTTAAAGAGTTGCAAACACTAATTATTGACTTGTGCAGAAAATAAAGTACGTATATTAAACATCTGATAGTGAGATTAGATCCTTCGGCAATTGTCTAAAGTTATATTTGATGATCTCAGTCTAATTAGGGAGTGGTCGTCATAGAGAATAATATTATAATTATCAGTTCCAATATAAGACTCAGAGAATGATAGTCAGTCAATGAAAAACCCAGAAATACTGGAGGTCAGAGGAGCTCGTCTTAGAAAGGTAGTAGCCCTGAGACGATTCGTACGTTTCTAAACTGAAACATGTGTACTCAAGGCAAAGCTATTTAATTCATTTCTTCGTGACTCAAAGTTAATAAAAATAAAGTTGAAAAGCACTACAATTGCATATAATTTCCTATTTTAAGACTATTACTCTTTAGCATTAAATTACTGTCATTCTTGTTAATTAATCTTTAAGTGGATATTATTTATAAAATGTGTTAGCATTAGCTTAAATGAATTTATAACACTCTGAAACAACAAAAATTAAACTTGTAAACTAAAAATTGTGCAAAAAAATTGCAAATATTTTTAAAATGCAATTCAACAAAATTGTATCGCAAAGCATTTAATATATTCAATGCAACAAAGCTTTTGAAAATACATCTTGTATATGGTCACTGAAATATTCATTGCAGTACATACTTTTACTTACATAATAAATTACGCATTTCTGACTGTTTTAAAAAAGCTTTGTTTACATAATATGCCTTATTTTATTACAAACTTTTAATTTCATATAATAGAAAACAGTTTTCGGATTTTATGTGACACTTATTTCTCCGCACAGAATCTTAAATATTGAATTTTAAAGGTATGGAAACTTCAGGCATATTAAGCGATAATCTAAACTTCAGATATAAAAGAAACAAAATCATTTTAATTACCTCGCCGAAGATCCCACTATATGTTGATTTCCTTAATTCACATTTAAACCTAATTATTAATATTTTTACATTTCTAAAAGTATCTTATAGAACGAGGCCATTGATTATAGCATCAGACAAATACAACGAAATCATTTTTAATTTATGTTTCGGGGAAAATTCAGTAAAGCAATTTAAAATATTTATTTGCTTTAGAACAGAATAAAATGATTTTGCATTACACTTAAATGTTAAGATAGTTAAATAAAGTAATTTTAAAAAGGAATCCTCTAGTATTTATCAGGTAAAATATTTTACCTCAATAAAATGTTGAAATACTAAAGAAATAGTTAAAGAAACCAGTGTCTTATAAAACTATAAAGTTGTTTTCAATTACATCAAATTTAAAATGTTTAATCTTGAATTTTTAATTACACAAATTATTGGCATTTATTGATTCAGCTTCTGTGATTTCTATATGTTTAGATGATTCAGTTGAATTCCAAGGACAAAAAATACTTCGACAAGCAACGTATTCTGAATAAGATTTTTGGTTCACTTATGAACATATACCTTTGTGAGTACACCCATATATCATAAGTACATACGTAAATACTACTCATTCATAAATGAACTTTTTGGCGTGTTTTTTTAAATTAATAAAAATAATTACTATTTTACATTTCACCTAAAAATTAATATGAAGAATTAATTTGAAATGTATTTATTTTTATCGCAATCCTAATCTTTATAAATAATGTTTAACTTAAACAAAAATTCTGTATAGCTAACATTCCAGTCGGAGGTCAACTCGAGCGGCGATCAGTCAAGAAAGAGAACAACAGCATATGCTTATTTTGCCTACTATTGATTTTAATTATTAGTTATTAACAGTGAGTTCTAGACGGACATTTTTCAGTTATGAAAACACATGCAAAATTAAAATATACAATGAAAAATCCTTAACTTTTCATAAACTATAATTTCGGATATTTATTATTCTTAATTTTTCTTTTGCAGTTTAAAAAGATGTTAAACTCCTTAACCAATATTTTGAGTTTTCTGTTCATATTTAAATGTGTGAAGGAATCAAAACATTTATCATATACTACATCATTTCATGTTTTTCATAGAAATATGCACAGTAATATGTAGATCAAATTTATTTAATAATGCTTACCTCACTTTCATAGATCTGTTATTTAACAGGAAAGCTTGAACTGTCCAGCATGCTTCAGAAGTTCTCTAGTTGGTTAACTCACAACTAAAGGACACTTGAATATTTACAGTTATGATTCGGTTAGCGTAAATTTCTTGCTGGTGGTTTGCGTATTAAGATCTTCAGAAAACATCGACATAGATCAAAAAATTAAATTCTTTGGAGAGTTATCTTTAAACTTTGAAGACTGAAATGAATTAAGTTTATTTACAGAAGTTAGAAGAGAGAGTTAAAGCACAAAATTAAGTTTTGTACATCGAAACTATTTTTTGTATATATAGGCATCTTCGTTTAACTAATTGTCTTGCAATAAACACTGTTTCATGCAATGTCGTTTAAAGTTTGAGAAGCATGTACGATTACTTTATTACAATATGAGAAATTGAACTAGTAAAACCTCAAAGATAGAGGTACTTGAAGTCAATAATAAAACTACAGAAGAAAATTCATGACTAACGAATTAGCACCTGTGCATGACTTCAGTGAGAATGGAGTCAAAAGATTCACCATGTTGCGACGGACAAGCAAAAAGGGGGATGGTAGGAGAAATATCTTTGAGATTTCCCTTCGTAATCCAGGAACGGACACTGGCGGTGCTGCTTCGGTGATATATCTACAGCTTTGACTACCATACTCAACACCGACGTCGTAGAAGCAGCCGGAAAAATGCAGTTTTTCACAGTTCGGTTTTCAATCAGTACGAAAGCTAGGTTTCAGGCATTTTTTGTTACTTAAGTCCAGTCCCGACTTCAGTGGTAATGAGGGATTTTCATTTTCGGAGGATCTTACGAATAAATACCCCTCTGTATCTCGGATTGTCAGGGCACCTTCCCCGGTGTGCGCATGTGCACTGGAATGTTATCGACAGGAGCAATAATGTGGTGGGTGCGCGCTGCATCTTCTCTGCTCTCACCCGCATCATTTTGCCCTCTCCTTCCCAACCCCAGATTTGGATAGACCGAGCTACTCTGATTCCGTGACGTCACTACAACAGCGAAACCCGCGCTCCAGATCGTTCATTTTAATTCATTCTTAATTCATGAGCGTTGTCTGACATTTCTATGAGACGAAATCTGAGGAAATCGAACTTCGATTATTACATTTCAATAAAGGCAAAATATCGGCTACCAAGTATTTCATGAAATCACACCAGATACAATTTAAAACCTCATTTATCCTAAAGGTGTCTTTATTATATTTCTGTCTCGTGGTTGTCTTTATTTACAGACATGATAAATCTATTTCACTTCAATTTGTAACTATTTTCACTGCAACTTAATCATTGTCCTTAGTCTATTCCAATAACTATCTCAAAACTGATTAAGTACCGATTAAAACGCGTCATAATTTTTATATTATTTATTTCAAAATTCGAACTAAGCAGTTTCAAATATGAGTACTTGAAATACAAGAGGTCAAATGTATAAAACTTCTTAACATTGGAAATTTTGCCTAAGATCGAATTCAGCGTACGATTTGGCTGCGCTGTACGAAAGTTTTCATGGTTTTCTTTATGTTTAGTGTAAATACGATCCGCTTTCCCTTAGAAACCCTTTCATGAAGCACCCCTTTTCTTAGGAAGGAAGGGGCCCACCAGTGGCCGAGCTGTAAAATCGCTGAATACTGGTTATTCGGTCTGCGGTTCGAGTCTCGCAAACGGGCTGGCTGCATGGACGTTTTCGTGGTTTTCCCCATGTGTAACGTGTATGCGAGATAGTTTCCTTTAGAAAGTCCTCCAGTTATACAGATAGCCCTCGAGTCTTTGCCATAATAATATAACCCCCCCCCAGAAAAAAACTTACGAAGGTAGCACTTTTACGTTTTGCCATAATCAAACAAATAAATCTAAATAGAAACCTGATGGAATGTTTAGCAAGCAAGGCTAAAACATTTTGAACATCTCAGCGTTGCGTAAGAATACAGAACTACATCATGTGACAATTTTAATAAGAAAGAACTGTTTTTTATTTTCGGATATCTTAGAGCGTTTGACATGAATTTTGATACAAAAACTAAACATTTTTCACTCTAAATATGATTAAATATTTAAATTTGGACTTGAAAAAATTCTTTCTTAGAGTTTCCATCCAATAAAGCTGTTCTCGCATATTACTTTTTCTTAACAAAAACGCATATTTATTAAAATCTTTCATTATTTTCTATTATCTATTTTTAAAAGGGATGCTCAAATGTAATTCTGACCAAAAACTGTTCAGACTGCGAAATAATAAAGCACATGAATAAACTAATGTTTAACTTGTCAAAATATTCATTTACGAAGTAGCATTAGTAACGCAAATGTTATAGTACGAAATGCGTTTATTTTTTATCAAAGGTCCAGAGAAATAAAGATTAAAAAATTTGTATTTCCTTCATTCGTTTTCTAAACCAAGAATATTATTGCAAGTATTATATCTTTGTTAGAATCAAACTGTGTGTACATTTACTTAAACGTATAAGTTACTTTGACAGATACTAAAATATTAATCGTTTTGAAAACTATGCGAACTGTAGTAAAGAAAGACGAAAATGTGTTTTCACAAAACTGTTTTAAGATTTAATTCAAGAACATCTTTCCACCAAGCAAAGGAAATACACTGCTGGCCATAAAAATTGCTATGTAATGAAGTAAGAACGCAATAAATCTGAAATTTGCACGAAAGCTAGAACATGCTAAAACAAATAATCATTTACTATTTAATGCCTTAGGAAAGTTAAAGGTAAGATTAATAACAACTCGAAGCAGTATAAAAAGGCAGCGACATTCGTAAATCGTATTTACTTGATGTTTTTAATGTTGTAGGCAGTGTGATGTCTCGTATAAGAAAAAGGAACTCATGCTGACACATCTCAGATGTTGATCGGGAGAGAATCGTAGCCTACTAGGTCTTTCGATTACTTCACCGCTCAGCTACTGCTCGCAATCAACGAGATTCAATGACTATTAAGAGAATTTGCAGTCGACGGACCTAAATGTACCACATAAAACTATCCTGGTCTCTAGTATTCACCAGTGCCAGAGACGACAGATATCTTGCCCGCATCGTTGTTAGAGGTTGTACAGTCACATCATGCACCATGGTGAGACGTCTGTAATGAACTGTCTGCAAGGCAATCATTGCTTCGACTTCCCTTGACGCAACAGTAAGAATCATCGCCTACAATATTGCGTTCAGTGGCACACATGAACGCAATAGCATGACATCGTCTTTCGTAACGAATTCCTTTTTATTTACTGCATTAGGATGGCCGTTTATGATAAACGAACCTTGGATTCTGGCATTCTTCATCGTCATACCAACCCAGCCCATACCTCATTTGAGATATATGGTGTTATGGGGTTGGCATTCCATTCACCTCTAGTCTGAATATCCAACCATCTTTCCCGGGTTTTTAATGCATATGCCTATGCAGTATCTTGGAGAGCTTCATCACTCCATCTTTCAACAGGACAGCGCGACGTCTCCTTATGTTGCCCACACTATATTACGTTTCCTCAATTCAAAGAGTATTCCTTTTTCCTGCCTTGACCGGAGCGTTCTTTAGACCTCTCACCAACGGAAATGTCTAGTCAATAGTTACAGGAAGTCTGGTACGACATCATCACCAAACAGTATGACACATGAACTCAAGCATGCCAATCAAGACGCGTAGATTACAATATTCAAAACCACCATCCACGATTCCATTGCCCGGACGTATAACAGCGGTTATTACTCTCAGAGACGGACACTCAGAGTGCTGGTTTCTGTATATTCTGTATCTTAAAATTACCGGTGATTTTGATCATTTCATTCTTCATTGTAATGCATTTGTAAAATAAGTAAGAATCTGTTAACTGCTTTCACTCTCGGCATAGCAGTTTTGATGACCATAACTGCGTTTATTTCTGCTGTCCTGTGGAAAGATCATATTAAAAATCAAAAGACACGGATCCGATTTCTACAGGAAGATATACACTCCAAATTACTTATTAGCTAAAGTTAAATTTAATATATTATTCTTATCTCTCAGAATAGTGTTGTCAATAAAATGTTTTTAAAGAGTGTCATTCTATTTCGCTCTTTATTTATTGAAATCATTGATCCTAAAATATATTTCTTATGTTTAGAAAATTTTTACCACAGTTGAAATGAACTGATGGCCAAAATATTGTTGCGTGCGTACAGGTTTGTAATAGATTGAATGCACAAGTGGATAAAAGGTTGATAAAATTTATTCTTGTCACAAGAGATAAACAAAATGCTGAAATTTCTCCGCACAGATATTCGCACAATATCACAATATCACACATTAGTTATACTTTAAACTACTAAAACGTTAATTAGAACACAATTCAAAGTACAGAGGAAGCTAATCCGATCTCGCCTGGAATTCCCTACAATCAACAACAACAAACAAAAACAAAAAAATAAGCAACTGAACTGATATGTTTCTCTCCGGCTTTTATAAGCCTTTTAATCATGCACGAGAACATTCTGGTATTTTCTCGAGGTTTATGAAAAGCAAAAGACTACAATGACGAGATATCTATTTATTAAATGTTAAATGCGCTTACTCCTGTATTTTAACTTTTCCGGCTTAGCTTTCTCTTCATATAAGTCTCGTGCTGCATTGCACAGGGATATAAAACAACTTTAATTACAATTCTACTAAAAAATCCGTAACAATATGTTTTCTCGCTAGAAGTACCAAACCAGTATATACATCTCCTCTGGAGAAAGTTGTTTGGCGAGTCTCGTCTTATAACGGAAAATATCCAAAATTATGAATTCATTTGTTGCTTCCTAAAAATACCACTGTAAGTTAGGACAGCAAAAATTGTATAATTCTATAAGTTTCAAATGAGAGTTTTAACTTAATTTTAAACAATGTAAATTAACAGATTAATATTTGGCAAAATAGTAAACAGGAATACTTATTTTCAGCAAACGGTCATTAAGAAATGACGAATACGCTGTATTTTTTATACATATGACAATATAACATATATTTTTATACATATGACATATTGTCACAGATAACAATATCTATGCAACTTTTATAATTAATTTTGTATCGGCTTGACTTAGTATGTAAATAAATTTCATTTCGCATATCCTCAACTAATTTTGTACATACTAAATATATGTTTTATTCCCAAAAGAACACGTAACTATTTGTAATTCCTTTACAGAAGAATGTTTTTCTTTACTACCATACTCTAAGTTTATAAATTAACCCTAGACTTTTCTGATCTCAGTAAGGTCAGCGCTTTTTGACAGCAGATCCATGAGTTTTTTTCAAAACCGTATTTTGTCGAGTTAGATGCATGTTAAAACCTGTGACTGTTGTCTATCAATGTGTAATGGATTGAAATACACATAAACCATAGACTGGTATGAAAATATTAGATTTGCTGTCCTTTTGAAAATATACCCACTGATCCATCACTACAGTTTTTCGTTATTATAATTCTGAAAGCTTCTTTAGTATTTTAATGCAAATCATACCCGATATACCATCTACAATCGCTTGTGCTGATTTCTTTCTCAACTAATAAAATAACAGCTTGTAATATATCTGATCATATAATTGCTCTTTTCATCCATCTTAACCCATCGCTTTATTTTGTTTTGGTAATAAATGATTTTTCTTTCATTTTTAATGCATTTAAAATTTTTATTAGCTGTTTTTGAACAACGTATCTCCTAATTAATTTGTCTGTCTTCCTGTATGATTTCTTTTTCCTGTATGATAGTGTGTAGCACCTTGGTCTATCACGCAGCTAAAGAGGTAACCAAGACTTCGACAAATTTGCTACTTCTATACAATAGATTAAGTGAAAATTTGCATATGATTTCATTAGCG